CCCTTAGGGATTCCCTGTAATTCAAACTTTCATCTTTTTTCAACTTATTTTCTCCTAAAACAGCTGCAAAAGCCCTTTTATAATTCCCACCCTTTTTGGGTGAGACCAATTGTTACAGTCAGGTGGTTTTTTATTTAATTCCTATTGATATAGTCAGGTGGTTCTTCAATTCCCATTGTAAAAGCCTCAATCTGAACAGCCAGTTTTCTCTAGATGGTAACATCTTGGGATGCTTCCTTTGATATTAAACCTAGAACTGTAACAGCCCATTTGTCACCACTGCTAGGTGCAATAGTCTTTTCTAGTGAAAAATTAGAAGGCCACCATGAACCTTTCCCATAATGCCATTAGCACCCTTCGCATGTATAGGAATTCTTGAAGGCATCAGACTGAACTCAGGAGATTGTCACAGATGAGGCACTGATAATCGGCATCATAAATACTCCAGAATACTGCTATGAAATTGTTTCCCGCTTTCTCACAGACAACAGTGTTCCAAATGATTGATGTTGAATATTGCTCATCAGCTCTTGCAAACCTACAGGTGCTTGCTGTAGCACTCAGTTAATTTTAAAATTCTCTTGTGGTATGAGCCTAACTGGTAAAACAACAGGTTTGGATTGCAACCTTGCATAGTCTTGAGCATATTCTATATCTCTCAGTGTGTCTGTGGTTGTATGACCTAGTCAGTCTAAGTGTATCTGCATTTCTGTTTCAGAGAGCAGGTCAGAAAGTATCCAAAGTTGTCGTTGGACTACTGGCACTTGCATGGATCTTCACATTTACAACACTGTTTCTTGCTGCTGCTGAGGAAATGACATGGCTACAGTTCTTATTCTGCTTCTCTTACATTAAGTTAGCAGTCACACTGATAAAATATTTTCCACAGGTAAATTTGAAATTTTCCACTTTTATACTATATTCCTGTCACCCTAAGCCTGTAGTTTATGCTCTTGAAAGTCTGACTGGACTAAACCAGCAATGATTATCTATTAAGCCAGTAGAGTTATACATAAGGCTTCTTAAATGTTAATCTCAGAAATGCTTGTACATGACATGCTGACTGACTTCTTGTTACACTCTCAGGCATACATGAATTTCCGTCGGAAGAGTACTGAGGGATGGAGTATTGGAAATGTATTACTAGACTTCACTGGTGGAAGCTTCAGCCTTCTCCAGATGTTTTTGCAGTCATACAACAATGGTAAGGCTGGGACTGAAGTGGTGGGGCCTTTCTTGGTGAGGTGGGAGAATCCTGCTACAAAGCAGATATGAACCTGTAGGTTATCTTGGGAGGATGATGTTTGTGCTATAGTATGGGTAGCTTGCTTATACTAAGAATAAAGACTCTGTTCATATTACTTCAAGATAGAAAATGAAGTAGCTATTCTGAAGCAGCCACAGGAACTGTTATTGATTAGCTTTGCTTAAGATACACACTACAGGCAGTCCTAAGGCGTGTCTGAGCAGTCTAGGTAATAAATGAACTTCTCTAATACATATGGCATGGCCTTGACTACACTTGAGGAGTTATCTTAACTGTCTAATTTTGTGCTTGACAGATGAATGGAAGTTGATCTTTGGAGATCCAACCAAGTTTGGCCTGGGTGTCTTCTCCATCATCTTTGATACTGTTTTTATGATCCAGCACTACTGCCTTTACAGAAGACGGGGGTATGAACCTTGTGAATAACATCACTTGTGAAGACAAAAAACTTAAATGGAACTTGCCCCTACCCTGGCTGAGGGATTTCAAGATGCCTACTGACAGTTACCAGAAATACTGATCCTGATCTCTGTTTATACTTTGATCCTCTCTGGTACGGAATACAAGCTGTTGCCTCGCCTAATGCTGACTGCCAGATGCCTTAAAGGACAGCAAGCTATCTAGCCACACTCAAGCCCGTTGAAGCTGCAAAGCCAGCTTAGGGTGAGCTCTCCAAGCAGGATGTGGCTATTTTTCCACTAACAACAGGAAAGAGAAAGACCAGAGTGATGTCTGTCTTATTAGAAGTGAAGCACAAAGAGCGGAGTTCTGGCTTCCAAAAATCTGAGATGATTTTTAAGCAACTACTTACTATCTTAATGTAATGACTGAAAACTATCTGTGGATCCAAGTGCTGCTGCTGACTTCTCACAGACAGATCACAGTAGAACACGACTCAGGTTGGCTGTTAACAGCTGTAGTATTGGTAGCAAATACATACTAGAACTCTTTATTAAAAAAAGATACTGAGAAGCACAAACTGTATTCTTATTTCACTGAAAGCTCTTTCAAAGGTGCTAAGTGCTCAGATTTATCTGAATACTTATAGTGCACTAACTTCATTTTTCTCAGTTCTACTGACATGCCTTGAATTCTCAGTGGTGGATGGTAAAGATTAAAGATTTATCAAAGAGATTATTTCTAACAGCCCCATGATTAAACATGGGTTTGTTTTCCTGGCCAAGTTTCTAACTGCATGTGATATATTCTAGGTAGAGATCAAGGTCTTGAGTTAATTGAAGGTAAGCATTATACTCTTTTAAAGAACTAGAAGGTAATCCATGCATTTGTACTTGAACAATACTTGAATGCTCAATATGTCTTACTAGGTGTCAACCTAAGGAAAACTAGAACCCTTCTCCCCCCCTGCTAGAGACCAGGTGAGGTTTGACAGCTCGCTAACACCACAAATACCCACCAGTGAAATCAGACCTTACTAATCTCACACTGCATTGTGTTGATGTTGTCCACAATCCACTTCGAGCCATAAAACAGGTGTTGGCTGGAGGCATTCAAGTGATACAGCATTCTTAAATGTAAGGAGAAACAGCTCAGGAGATCCAGCTTTGTTTTATTGTATGTAAAATCAAGTGAAATAGCAGTACAAATAGCAGTGTATCTTTATAGTAACAAAAATAACTTCAACTTGAAAGCCTTAAAATTTACCACTGAATTCTTAAGTTACAAAATTTAAAAGGAGTATTGTAATAATTCCATAGATATAAAAATGGTCAATAGGCATTGGCTGGTGCATACAGAACAGTCTGAGATGCATTAATCACAACATACAGATAGGGCACAGCAGTAATGTACTGAATAAGTTAGTCTGCCACCTCCTCATGTTCTATTTACAACAGCTTACCTGAAGACTGCTTACGGAAAGTATAGATATGTATAAATCAACTGAAGGGGATTTAAAACTCCAGTTTTTGGATAATTGTAAAGCTAGCTGGTTAACAGACCACTAGGATACTAGATGATTAATGTTGCAGCAAGAATCTTAAATCCTGTGGCATGTTGATTTAAACAACTTAGTATCTTACCAGAAGTTTAAATTTGGTCAAGAGGCACTTTTGCCAATTACTGGCATATTCATCTCTTCCATCCCATGAATCAGCCATTTAAGCAAAGTCTTCTAGAAGACAGACCAAAATCCACCCCTCCTGCACCAGGTCTGATAGAAGTGGAATGAAGAACTGAAGACCCCACAGCTACAAGCAGTTGTTTTGGTAAGTTCAGCAGCAGTGTTTTCTTTTCTTGCTCCATACTCCATTTAAATTTGATTCATTTGATGTTACAAATCACTTGAGAAGGAGAATGAAGGTTTTACTCTGACAGTGAAGTTGAACTGTAGTGTTTATGAACTTTTAGTGTACTTCACAGGCATTAATCTAACACTTGCGTTACTTAGTTGTTTCTAAGGTGTTCCGTGTCTCAAGATGCTGGTTTGTACAGGGAATCTTTGCAGTAAACTGTAATGCCCCAAACCCTTCAGCATACTCTGTCTAGCTAGCACACAACGTGAGATCAGTACAGTGCTCCTCCCCACAGCAGTGTGCAACTCTTCATGCTGGCATTTTAACTTCACAGCATGGGAGGACATGACAGCTAGCCTCTAAAAGCTTCTGCACAGTGAACCCTTCTATCTTCCATAGCAGAAAATACAATTCCTCTTGAAATAAGACAAAAGAATCCTGTCCAAGTTAAGGCTTTTCCAGTTGCTTCCTTAGATAACGAGGGTTGTCCTGTCCTCCTGAAAGCCGTGACTACAATAAAGTCTTACCATGTACCTGCAGGGAAGACTTTAGAGAAGCAGTCTTGCTGGGGGGCTAGAGTTTTACTACTGCCAGTTACACCAGAGAAAGGGAAAAAAAAATAGTGTTTACCACAGTTAGGAACATGCACTCCTTCCAGACAACCTGTTCAGGTCTTGTATTTGCTTCCTTGCTCGATATCAGTCTGTATCTCTCCCTCCCCAACCCTTCCCCAACTTGATTGATTAGGACATCATGGATTGTTGCACAGCCTTCTGCAGAGATTGCCTGGTCACCAGCAGCCGTACCACCTCCTCATTCCTTTTTGTCAGCCTCTTTCTAGCTTGGTCATGGGTCACCATTGTCATATCCCAGCCATTCACCTAGGAGAGAGAAACATAAAATAAGGCCAGTGCACGGACTCCCAGGTGTCCTCTAACTGTGCCACTGGAACTCTGTAGTAGATATGCTTATGCCACAGCTCAGATTGTTTATAAGCCCCATAAACTGTCCTGGAAGGTACCCAGAAGATGTTATTTCCCCTAGCAGAAGCTTCTCTGTAGCACACACCTAGCACTACATTGGTACTTGTCTTGTCTTGGTGTTTACCTGCATGATCTTATCTCCAATCTGAAGTCCTGCAACTTCTGCTGGGCCTCCTTCTGTCACCCTTGTTACATAGATACCCTGGAAAAAAAATTGTGTTCATTTACTAAATCCGGCAGTATTAAATACTCAAGGGACATTCTACTGACAGTGCAAAAATAATTAGTATATTATGGGATTGTACTTCAGAAGAATTTGTACAATGTTGGAAAATAGAAAAATTGGAGAGCTAACTTAAACCAAGCTTAGTCTGCACATGATAGTGTGGAAACAGTAACCTTAGCAGTCAGCTATGGGAGAGGACAGAATACAGGTGGCAGCAAGTCACTGCTGGGTGAGCTGGACATGCTCAGCCTTGGGCAGGTAGCTGCTACAGAAAACAAAGAGCATCTGACCTTGTCGGTCTTGTCTTCAGAGAAAGGATTCTGAGTAGGGTCCTGATCAATGCCACCTCCAATGCTGAATCCCAGAATCAAATTGTCACCTTGCCGAAGCTTATGTATTTCAATTCTTTGCTGAAAGGAGAAAAAGATAAAACAGCTGAGTATTGCAATCACTGGAAAAAAATCTCAAGTGTATTTTAGATGCAGATTCTTAAGCCCCTGTTAGATTGTCTTTTCTAGAGATACCATAACCCTACTCCCGGAGGCTGCATCACAGCTCGGTGAGCTTACGCTCTGTCAGCAGCCAGCTCTAGCTGCCCTGGCAGCACAGACCCACTGCGTGGCCTTTGCTGTCTGTCAGTCGCACACAGCCTTGCTGTCGACAGCAATTGGCTCTGAACTGTTCCCAGCCCTACCACAAGGCAGCAGGACAGGAAACCATCTGCAAGCTCAGCCCAAGGGCGCTCATGCCATGATACAGCCAAACTCCTTAACTACTCAGCACTTTACTGCTGCCTGGAGACACGAGAAAAACACTAAACATGGAGCAGGTCTCTTCAAACATGAGTCATGTCTCGCTAATTAGCAGTCACGCACAGCTACACTCATCTTGCTCTTTACCCACACAGCTTGTGCTCCTGCCTGGCCTTATCAGTGGAAAAAACTATTATTAGGATGGTTCTTTTTCACGATAACTTATCAACGCTCTTTTGCAATGCAGAGGCAGGTTCCTTGCTGTCTGATGAACACAAGCATCTAACGAGCTTTATGCATGATCTAAGTGTTGTATGAACGCCAACTTGTACAATTCCTGAGCCAGGATGAAAAGCCAGTTTTAACTGAAACAATAACCCATCGAAAGGTTCTTCCTGAAGAGCCCTGCCAGGACACTGAGCTTCCCAAAGGCGCTGGGCTCAGGCTGTCACTAGGATCCAGACTGCTGGGTCAGGCAGCTTCCAGCTCCTCAGGGCTGGCTGTCCTTACAGCGCAGGGATGGTGCAGCGTCCTGCAGCGGGCTGACCCCAAGCACAGATCCATTGCGCGCTGCAACTCCTGGAAGAAACCACAGAGCCCCTCGCTTGCCCTGGTCAAGGCCAGTAACGTACTTTCAGAGCTCTACTGCACCAACCCCCGGGGCAAAGCAGGTGCCCGTCCTGCCGAGGCTGTGCAGCGGCGGGCACAGAGCAGTCGGACCGGCCCGCGGGAGCGGTGGAGCCCAG